CACCATCTTTGCAAAGGGCAGCCTAGATTCCCTTAAGGCAGGCCATAGTGGTGGAGGCCATTGCAGCAAGTGGTGCTGGATGGTGACTGCGGAGGCTGGTGTGGCACAGGCCTCTGTGGATGGTGGCAGCAGCAGCAGCGGTAAAGACTGTGACAGCCAAGGTAGGGAGATGACAGGGGTAGTGGGAAGGCCAGAGGAGCAGGTTGTGGGGGTGGACGGGTCAGCTTTTTTATAGACCCTCCCCACGAACCGATAAATATATTTGTGCTTCATTGGTTCATGGAGAGGATATTTGTGCTTCGTCAACTTTGATGGATCATGAAGCATGATGACTCACCAAAATGGTGATTCATCCCCATCTCTACTTAAAAACCCCTTTGGGACATTTTTAGCAGTGGCTGTTATTTCTTTGGCTTGCACATATGGTACAGAGGCCATAGGTCTAAAAGACCAGCAGTTTTTAAAATACTTATCCCCAGCCAACCTCCCAAAATACAGAAGTAAAAAATAAAAAACAAACAAACACCAAGTAATAATGGTGATTGATCATTTCACTCAAAACAAGGATTTTCTTGCTAGGTGAGTCTTTATACTTTTTAGTTTATACTTAATTGCTTTGGGGCTCTTGAGGGAGGGAGGGGGGAGGGGAGAACTGAGAAGGGTGCACCATTTGCACCATGTTCCATGGTAAATATGGCATTGGTGGAAAAAAAAAACCCTGTGGTGCCTCCATCCCTTGTTGATGCCCCTAAGCACATGCTTATTTTGCTTAATAATTAATCCAGGGCTGGTTAAACTGCAGTACTGCAGTCAATACTCTGCTCATGACCTGAGTTTGATCCTGCTGGGCTTAGATAGCCAGCTCAAGGTTGACTTAACTTTCCAAAGTCAGTAAATTGAGTACCCAGCTTGCTTGTGGAGGGGTGTGTGCAATATATAGCCTGTATAATTAAATTGCAAACTGCTCAGAAAGTGCTTTAAGTGCTGAGGGCAGTATATAAGCAGCATGCTATGATTTTGCTTTTATAGTAGCTAGATTTCAAACCCATTTGCCAGAAGTAATTAGGAATAATACAAGTGGACTATGAGAAATATTTGTGCTCTATGGGGCAGCAACAATTTTTTTTCTCTGTTTCTCCCTAACTACAGGCCCTAGGAAGGTCCCGTTACAATCCAACAGCAGAAGATCAAGAGATAACAATTGGGGGCATCAGTCTAAATCTATTTGTTTCATCACAAACACATGCAAATTAGAGCAGATGAAAGATATACAAGGATGGGATGTCTTAGGTATGCCACCTTGTTTTACAAAAACATGTCCAGATGATTTTATTTTATTTATGTAACATCATTGTAATATCATTTTGTTATAGCCTAATTGTACTTTTGAGAAAATACCAGACATTTTGTTCTTCAAACTGATCACTACATTTTAAATAGGGATGAGAAGAAATGAAAACTGTACCAACCAAAAGAATTAGGTTAATCTTAAATATATCAGGCATTAGTAAATATTTTTTGCCTTAGAACTGCAAGAGCTTCCACATTTGCCTTCTATTCTGAAGTGGGAAAATGTTGGTGACAATGCTGTTTTAATAACTGCAGATAATGACTCAGCGTTCTTTCAAATAACTTCTTTTCCGTTGTGTGGATTTATATCCTTTTGGTTGGGCTCTCCATATCTTTTGCATGCATAGAAATGGGCCTGATATAAACCAGTCCAGCTCAGAATTAGCAACAAAAGAGAGCATCACCATTTTAACTTTATGCTTTTTATTTAAAAACGCCACCACCACCTATTCTTTCAAGCTAGGTGCAAAGACATTTCTTGTTGATTTTACTGTCTCAGGGAAATATTGTCTTCCTAAGGATTTCTGCTCATCTGGCATACTATTTGGCTCATTATACACTGCTAAAAAAACCCAGCTGCTAATCAGTTTGATATGGCTGTCATTTGAAAATGAAAAATTAATTACCAAATTAAATTTCCAAAAGCGAAAAGAAATACTTTAGTGTGGGTCCATGGCAGTTTGGCTTGATAATGTAACATTCAATATTTGAATGTAACTGAGAACAGTTGTCCTGTGACATTAATACTGCAATGTCCATTTATCTCAGTAAACCTGACCATGAGATAATGATTATATTTATCAATTCTGCAGTGTGTTCAGAACCTTCACAATATTTCACAAACAGTATTTCAGTAATGCTTTACATCTCTTCTCTGAGGTACGCCACTACTTACATGTAAATATGACAAATGAGAGTTCAGGAGTAGACCAAGAAATTGTAATTTGCCCAAGACCACCCCCCCCCCCCCCCCCCGAGTCAAGGCCAGCCATTTAGCCGGAACGAGGCAGTCTCCTCTGGAGGCAAAATGCTTGGGAGAACAGAAGGAGTGTTTCTACTGCAAATGTCATCACTGCCGCCATCTTTCTTCTGTCACTTGCCCCCTCTTCTTTGCAGCCAGACATGACAATAATGCCTCAAGGAATAATGCCTCAAGGTCTTGAGGCTAAGCCATGGCAGGGTGGAATGACCAAAAACCAGAGTCTGTTACAAGTGACTATTTTTAAGGCCACCTTTCACTGCAAAGCCTTTGCCCTGAGGACATGACAGTCAGTGGTGCTATGGAGGCAGGGAGGTAGTAGTGGCCAATAGAAGGAAGGCACCTCTTCCCTTGCCTCTCCATGAGTATTGTGCACTGTGCCCAGGGAACATGGGCAATGCTTCTCTTCCTCTCTTGGGCTCGTGACAGCACTGCCTCTAGTGATTCAGTGACTGAGGCAAAGCTGGAACTGGGGACTTGTTTCCAGTTCAGTCTTCTAGTTGCAGAGCACCAAACGCATTATCTATTTTTTAATGTTCACAATATATTGAAATATGTTCAAAGAACAGCCAGTGCAACCATAAGGTATTTGCTTATTTCCATAGTGCATCAAAGCAACACCCCAACAAAGCATGCTCCCAACTAAATATGCTTCTATTTTGTCATTCCACCCCCTTTAGAAGCCAAAACAATAAGTTTCCACCTCTCTCCAGAGCAATTGTGCAACTCAGCATTCCTTGTTCAATGGTACATCCTGCTCATAATTTAGGGCACAGCAAATCATGATTGAGACAATTTTAAAATATTGATATAGCAAGCTATCCAGAAGATGAGTTCTACACATAGAAATCTATTCAGAAGTGGTTTGTGAGTTGACTTTTACAAGTGCATGTGAAGCATATTAGCTAAATCACATTTTGGCTTGAGATTGACAATATCTCCTCTTCTTAACATATTGTTCTCAAGTATATACTGAAATCAGTAGTCATAAAAGGTACCAGGCTGGATGAAGCAATACAACAGACAGATGTTGGGCTGTCCAGTGTTGTCATATCATAAACTATTGAAACAGCTATTACATAATCCAGACAGTCCTTAATCCAAAAGACTCCCAAATTTATTACAGATAACATGGAAGCATTATTGATTAGGTATCTGAGAATCTTAGATCTAGACTTCACCTCTTTCCTGATAGAGCTGGTCTCCTCCTGAAGAACCATCTGGGAATTCCCTTCCACTCTAATCTGAACCTGGATTGGCTGTGTGACAAAAGAGCCAAGGATGTTTTTTACCAACATCACCACTCTTTTTTTGGCAAAGGATGCACTTTCATGGAAACCTCAACACCTGATCTCAGTCATTCATATTCTTGTTGCATCCATTTCCTGTTAACTCCTCAGAACTTGTATTAAGGACTTTGAATATTCTCCATATATTGAGATCAGAGACAGGCAACCTACCCAAGCCCCCACCTCCTGCCATATAAGTTAAA